AGAGAGAGAGAGAGAGAGAGAGAGAGAGAGAGAGAGAGATAGCAAGAAAGACACTAGGTGGGTCACCCACCTCGTCTTGTCCGTGTCGAACATGGCAAACAGTTCCTCCGTCGTCATCGTCTGTTTCTCACTCATCAGGAAGTAGAAGTAGGAGAAGGAGAACTGCATGTCGTTCGGACTGCGTATCCTGTGTCGCGAAGTCTCGTCCCACTCCGCCGGAAACCTGCGAAAGTCGCGGTCTGTCATCAGGACTTGCTCCCGGCACACTCTGTTAGCGTGACTTACTACAGCGACCCACACAGCAGATGTGCTAGCCTGCCTTCCCTCGCCACACCCACACTCGCCTCGCCTCACGTAACCTCACTTCACATGAAACTCATCTCATAGGACACTCACCTAACTCTGAATTTTGTGACCTTCGACACCGACCCCCACGCATGACCTTCGACACCGACCCCCACGCGTGACCTTCGACACCGACCCCCACAACCGACCCCCACGCGTGACCTTCGACACCGACCCCCACGCGTGACCTTCAACACCGACCCCCATGCGTGACCTTCAACACCAACCCCCACACGTGAACTTCGATACCGACCCCCACGCGTGACCTTCGACACCGACCCCCACGTGTGACCTTCGACACCGACCCCCACGCGTGACCTTCAACACCAGCCCCCACGCGTGACCTTCGACACCGACCCCCACGCGTGACCTTAGAAACAACGGCCCCTGCGCGCGACCTTGGACACCGACCTCGCGTGCAGGGCGTCCATGACGGCGACGTCGATCATGTGAGGCATGTGCGCGGGCACCTTGCGCGCCTCGTAGCCGTAATGGCGCGAGTAGAGCTTGTTGACGAATCGCAGCGAGTCGGCGAACGTGTCGAGCGTGCGTCGCCCGCGCCGCGCCGCCGTCTCGTAACCACGCAGCGCGCGCCGCCGCCCACTCTCCTGCAGACGAGAGAAGCACACGCGAGATGTAAGCGATAGAGGGAGGATGTTGTATGAGAAGGAAGGTCAGCAGAAAGGTACTTAGCAAAAATGAGAGAATTTTCGGAGTGATAGAGAATCCATTTGAAGATGTTTGTGCAAGTTCTGCAAGGGACGATAAAAAGAAAATTGTTAGGTAATAAAAAATATTTTACGGGGAAAATGCTATATTTGAAGAGCAAAGTACAATACAAGCAAGTACATACAATGCAAAGTAACAAAGTAAATACAGCCAAAATAGATGGCCCTGCTTTCATTTCATCTCGTTTAACGATTACGCATCACAGTCACCTCGATGAGATCCTGAAAGACTCCCTGCCGCTCCCAGGGTAGGTTTCCCATCTCCTGCACATCCACGCCCGATGCACCAGTGATACCCTGCAGACGCCTTGCCCCTACTTGCCTGCCTTCTCCATCTTTAGCTGCCCCCACCTGCTCATCTTTGGCAACAATTCCTGCAGATTCTGTTGAAGATGATAAAAATTTCTGTCAAATGAGACGATAGAACGACATGACATCCAGTACGTGAAATTGCATTCCAAAAATAAAAATAAAAATTTAAATGCGAGACCACTTGCTTTGCACTTCATCGTCATCCTGTTTCTTATATTTCCATACTTACCATATCCATTCTTCATCATGGATAATGCTATTAATTAACTAATTAATTAACTAATTAATAATACACATAACAATACATTCGTTAATCCGCATGTCTCCGGTCGGATCGCGCATCGTTCCCATCTCACGATTGTCCGTAACCGCGTCTGGGGGGGGGGGGACCTACCACGTTTAACTCTCGCCGGTTTCCTCTCCCTCATCTTCCCCGCCGCTGCCGCGTCCTTCCTCTCCTTCTTCTTCGCCGCCGCCTTCTCCTTCTGCGCGTTGACCTTCTCCTGCTGTTCGCCGAGAATCCTCATCTGCTCGTGAAGTTTCTCCGCCTGCCTCCGTGCCACGTCTTGGTCCTCTCCCCCGCCCCCGCCCCCGCCCCCACCGACGGGCGGTGGCGCCTCCTGGTGCTCGGCAGCCTTACGATCGGCATTGCCGGACTTCGCTTCGCGCGCCGGCGGGAGATCTGCGTTCGCGACCGGGGCGTCGCGTGATTTAGACTGCTGCCGCGGCTGCTGCGGCGACGGCGTCTGCGCCGCGGCTGGCTGCGGCTGCCGTTGCCCTGGCGACCGTGGCAGCTGCTGCTGCTTCTGCTGCTGTTGTCCCTGCTGTTGCTGCTGCTGGGGTGGCTGTTGCTGCTGCTTCTGCTGCTGTTGTCCCTGTTGTTGCTGTTGCTGCTGCTGTGGTAGCTGTTGCTGCGGCTGTTGTTGCTGTTGCTGCTGCTGTGGTGGCTGTTGCTGCTGCTGTTGTTGCTGTTGCTGCGGCTGTGGTAGCTGTTGCTGCTGCTGTGGTGGCTGTTGCTGCTGCTGTTGTTGCTGTTGCTGCGGCTGTGGTAGCTGTTGCTGCTGCTGTGGTGGCT